TTTTTTTTCCGAGACAGGGTTTCTCTGTGGCTTTGGAGCCTGTCCTGGAACTAGCTCTGTAGACCAGGCTGGTCTCAAACTCACAGAGATCCACCTGCCTCTGCCTCCAGAGTGCTGGGATTAAAGGCGTGCGCCACCATCGCCCGGCTATATCTCTTAATATTAAAAAGAAAAAAAAAAACAGAAAAGTTGCCACAATAATTTGTATTTAAAAACCTGCATTTAACAATAAAATCCATATTCCTCCAAAATGTTTTAAATAAATAACATTGTTCAAATAACATGGGTTAGTTCCATGAAGACTTAAGTCTCAATCTGCATCATGCAAAAAGCTGGGTCTTTCAGCACCTGTCTATGATCCCAGCACTGAGGAGGCGGGCACAGGAAGATCCCTTGAGCTCACTGGCCAGTTAATCTAGCAGAATCAATAGCTCCTCACTAAGACACCTGTCTGGAAAATAAGGTGGAAAGCAATTAAGAAAAACACCTAGCTAGCATTGACCCCCTGACCTCTATGCAAATATATTGTATGCACGTGCACACACACATATCCCGCCCACATACACCAAAAACCACATATAGGAGTAATGTACTACTATTATTCTGTTAAATGAACATGCAATAAAATTACTCCATATCTCACTATATTCACAGATCACCTCATCACACAAGCTTCTTTTTGCAGTAGACAGCTGTAGGCCCATATTTCTGTATGGCACAAGAGCCATAAGCCCGGTATGAGGTGGTCATGAACTCTGCAGACAAGCTGTCTCTGTTTAAGAACAGCCAGGATGTGCTGCTCCTAATTTCTTTTGTTATAAATGTAGATCTCCTGAGAAGAGATGTTGGCTGAAACTGGTCAGGATGTTTGGTGCTTATTTCTTGGTAATTTGGAGGAAGCCTTATAGAGATGCTAATTCATCACCTACATGACTGCTAGCATACAGGTAGATGAGGACGTGACTAAAAGCCCATTCACTTGGTTACCTAGGAGACAGCCTAATGTGTTTTCCTGCTCAATTTATGTGATGATATATAAGGTGTTTGGATAATAAATGAGAAGATCTTTGGAGAGAGATCTTGCCCTTCCATGATGACCGTGTAAGCTGTCTGATTATTCCTTATGACTCCGTTCCAGTCCAGTTAGGGAATCTTGTGTTGGACCCACACAGCCTCCAATAGACAGTAATTACCAGAATAGAGAATTCTGAATGCTTAGTGCTAAATAAATGTCTATATCACTATCACACACACACACACACACACACACACACACGCACGCACGCACATCCCTTAAGGCTCAGAAGTCTAGGGGAAGAGGGAAGTAGGAGACTGTAAGAGTTAGCTGTGGTGGATGACTTCAAGGAAAAAAAAAATCCCAGCATAAAGAAAGTGAAACATAGGACAAAGTCCCATCCCCACGCAAAAAAAAAAAAAAAAAAAAAAAAAAAAAAA